ATCTTTGTAGTGACATGTTGGAGTCAGGCCTAAGAAAAGTATCTGTGCAATTGGGACATTCCTGGTAATAGCATCACAGGGAATCCAATTCTGCTTGCTTTTTTAGCTTCTTCCTCAATTGGGAGTGTTTTGGAACAGGGTTCTCTAAATCTAGATCATTGTCTTTCACAAATTCCATCTATACACTCACCTCTTTTAAAAAAAACTGGACTATATTGCTATCTCTACCAGGAGTTATCATATCTAATTTTTACAGCACATTCCATAACCTGGAATTTATTCTTCTCAGTATCCATTCAACTGTACTCATTTTACAAGGCCTAGTGTCATCCTAACTCATCCTTGAGTCCCAACCAAGCCATCTCATACAGCATACTCCTCAGCATAAATACACACAGCCAATCGTAAGCTAATGACAAATCAGCCCTCTTTCCCTCTATCACAGCAAGGGACCTGGATTCCTCTTATTTGTACTATTCAAAGTATGTGCAAATAGAGATTTCATAACAGGAAATCTTGTTCTAAGGTCCACAGAAGGTTTGGATTGGTTTAGAAGTGAAAGAAAATGTCCAAGATGAATACTGAGGTATGAAAGAAGTACAATCCCGCTATATCATAGATGTTTTTGATTAATAAGGCCTAGTATTAGCCCCTAAATTCTACCCTGGCCCTTCTGACAATCTCTATTTTCTCCAAAGCACCTAGCCACTACTCTGAAACAAAGTTACCACGTTGGATTCTACTGTTAGCAGTAACAGCTCCACTTTGTATGGTAGTCTAATGCCTAATGGATACTCCAAATGCTAGAGATAGAATAGAATAATAATAAAACCTCTAAAACATCTCTAATCTAGCACTGTGTGGTAGGCATATTCTGAGCATTTGAGCTATCCTATAGTACAGTCACTAGAACCTTCCACTTCACAATACAGTTAACTTAGATTGGTTATATCCCTCCCTCCAATACTGGAAAGTCCTGGAAGCCTAGAACAATGGAGTATGATGCAAATAATACAATGCCAGTATCTATCTCCAAGGCCAACATGAACTGGCAGCATCTTTTTCCAATTCCTTGAAACTCTGGGAACCCTGAGACTTCATGAATGGAGGCAGACTTCTCTGCTGAAGAGACCACAGCGAGAATCTTAGAGAATGTGTGGAAGAAGGAAAATGGCCCAGTTGTTACACTCAGGTGAAGGGACTCTAGGGACGGGAGACCAGTCAGTCCCCGCAGACCGTGGGCGAGCCCCGTCAACACCATGAAGGCTGAACTCAACTGACCAACTAATGAGATTTCATGGGATGTTGTTATTTTAAGCTACTAACTTGTAAGAAAATTTGTTTGTTTGTTTCCCTCAGAAATAGTTATCTCAAACACATATACTACATCTAGGATCACTCAGTTGATATGAACAAATTCAATTTCGACCCAGGTTATATATAGTATATACAGATTGTCACTAAGTTGCAGCCTGCCTTACCACTGGAAAAAATATGTCCAAAGCACCCTGATCCTTCTAGAAGGAAAGCTAGTCCACAGCTATTCTGTTTCCAGTTTTGAATGGCTATAATAATGCCTTTCCTATTTAAAAAATATCTAATACATATAGGAATTAAAGTTAAATGAAATAATTAATAAATTAAATTGTTAATTAAATTTATTTGATTGGAGGTAAAGGCTAAGCTTTTAATTTAAAAGTATTGTATATCCATCTGCTTTCTTTATGTACTTCCACTTTTCCCCCCAAAAGGAGCACTAAGAGGCTCCCACCTTAATATAGAGTCAAGTTCTTTAGCTTGGGCACAATAGCTGTGAGTAACTTAAGATAGCCCATGTCACTCACAAGCAATTCCTACTCATGTCCTAATAAACTGGAATATCAGAAAGATCAAAGCCCCAATTACTGCCAGGAGACGGGAGCAGTGGAAAGCTATATCAGCTCCAAAATGATTTGTTCATATTCACATGCAGTTAAGAGCAGCACTTTACAGTTGCCTTTGATCTGAAACAAACACTAGCCAAAGTCCACCAAAAACAAGCTTCTCAAATGCTATTTCCTTAGCTTATGCTTTAAGAAGGAATCAGTGGCTTCTTTAATAGTCATACTTTTACACTTGTGGGTTCAGATGCATATTTCTGTTCTCTTGTAAGAAAGGTGAATTTAAGGCAAATTTGCCTTAATAATATCAAAGCAAGAGGACAGAGCAGTGTATCATTGGAAGAGTCTTTTATTTATGATTTCACACAGATGAAAAAATAAATTACATACTAGTGACTATGAAATATAATCTTCCCAACAATGCTTGATAAGAAATGTACTCACTATCTTGCCCATGTAATTGTATCTCCTCTGTATGGTATTTTCACAATTTAAAAAAAAAAGAAAAAAAAAGAAATATAATCTTCCATACTTCTTTCTGAAGTGTCTCCTAGGGAGTAAAGCTTTCTGAGTCCTCTTTATTTAAGAAAATTAACTGGACCACATAGGCATATGGAAGGTTCTGGAATAACTATCCCTATAACAGAGTTGCCAGGGTCTTGGAATTGTTTGGTAGCATTCAAGAGGGGTGGTGTTCTGAGGTCCTCACATAGGATGGTATAATTGATAAAATATATATGAGGCTCAGACAGACTTGGAGATAAGGCCTTTAAGTTTTTACAGAACACAAAGCACTGTTCTTATGTCTAAGTGGCAAGAATAAAAAAGACCAAATTCATTGTGTTTGGTCCGATCAGTTCTGCTGGGCTGCTGGCTTTCCTCCACAAGGTTGTATTTACACACTCCTATAAACAGAGTGTCAACAGGTATATAATTCACTTTTATAGTCTTGATAAAAGGACCTGGGTTGCCAGAGGCTCACACCTGTAATCCTAGCTCCTCTGGAGGCTGCAATCTGAAGATCACAGTTGGAAGCCATCCCAGCCAGGAAAGTCCATGATACTCTTTATCTTCAATCAACCAACAAGACCACAAACTCCCATAAAACAAAAACAAAAAACAAAAAACAGAAGTAGAACTGTGGCTCAAGTGGTAGAGCAATAGCCACGACCAATGGATGCTCAGGGACAGTGCTCCTGAGTATAAGCCCCAGGACTGGCACACACAAAAAAAGAAAGGTAAAAGGAGAGACACGTAGATAAAATGTAGTTATTACCGGACTCCAAGGAAAAGAAACGCAACTGAGAAAAAAAAGCTTTTGATGTGGGCTTTCCCACATAGCTATTTTCTCTAAGAGAGCAGAGGTTCTGTGTGAATCCGTTACAGTCATTGACTACAATTCTGTATCTTGAAACCTGCTCTTCTCCAGAAGCATTAGCTTCTGGAGAAAAGTGTTGAAGGAATTCACCCAGTCTACTCCCGTGTATGCATTTGCCACAGGAGGGAAAGCCAAAAACTGACAATTACCATGGCTTAGTACCTGGATCCCTGGGTAACATTAAATCCTCCTGTGGTCAGTGAAAATTTGGTCTTAAAAAAGACTACAGGATCAGCCATTCCCACAAAGAAAAAGCCATTTGCTCCTTTGCTTCCCACAGAGTTAGTAGAATACATTCTGACAGAAACAAAACAAGTCTGCCAAGACCTGTGCAAATAAAACTATTCTTTCACCAACAATAAAACAGATCTACTCTTGAGCTATAGAGAGTCATAATAGAAATATATATTGCCTTTTATCTTCTTTTCAGTGAATAGAGTGAGGTGTCAAGAGTTATTGCTTTAATATCAGCAGAGAAATGCTATTTTTCTCTTTTGGGCACGAGCATAGGTATGCATGTAACTGCACGTGTGATTATAAGACTGCTATGCTAGCCAGGTTCTTGGCAGCCTTTGGAAAACACATAAAATTGGCTGATAACATCTTCTGTAGCTACAGCCTCAAATTGTTCCTATGGAATCATGTAAGTTGCTGTCTGGATTTCTGCTCAAACAAAAGGGAAATAGAAGATAGTACACATAACTTGCAGAAACTCAATGCAGAAAACTGGGAATCAGTAAGAGACTTAATTGATTATTGATTTTTAAGTTTACAGTGTCCAACAGAGTCCATGTGTACGGGATGTCAAAGGCTCAATTAAGCTTTGGATAATGTTTTAAAACTGAGAAACAGAAAGGGCATGTACCAATGTACTGAGTTTTCTACAAACACTAACCAGGCTAGGGGTAATTTCCCCACAAGCAATTGGAATGTCTTATTTTATGCCAGAGCATTTAAGGCTAATAACTCGATTAACCTCCTACCCTCCCCCTACTAACTAGATTTATGAAATGCCAAGGGAGTCAGGAAAGTATTAAGCTTTAGCTTGGATATAATTACTTTAAAATAGAAAAACAAAAATCCTTACCACAAAACTAAGGACTTCCTGCATAGCTAAATTAAAACCTTCACATTTTTCTAATGTAATTAGTATCTTGGTCAAATACAAAGGAAACAAAATGGAACAAAATGACAGATGATTAATCAAGGCTTAATATCAAACAAAAAGACTGTATTTCACATGAATTAGTTGAACTTGTAGCTTCAATTGCCCTTGATTTAATGATACCCATTGGCCTCCATAATGAACAATTCATGTTCTAGCAAAGCCATCTGGAGGATATGAATAGAATTGAACTAGGATACAGTCTTTTCCTACGATAGCAATTCTTTTTCCTTTTTTTCCTTTTCTCTTTCTATTTGAAAAGAAAAGGTAATAAAATGAGAGGAGGGAGAATATCATATTAAAATTGTAATCCATTTTTCATTGTGAATAACAGCTTTACCATTTCAGTGAAAAATATGGGACATTATAACCCATGAGTACACTAAGACTTTTACAACTCCTTTAGCAGTGAATTCATTTTTCTCTACTCTTGGGTCTTATTATGATAAGCATCTTCAGGTATCCTTCCTTCACACATAGTAATTCAAATTCTTTAACTGCATCGAGCACTGGGCATAATAGTCATATTTCAAAGACAAAAACTGCAAAAGCAATTGGTATGCAGAGCATGGCTTACCTGAATGCTGGCTGTGGAGCGATTCTTGCGGGTTGTGGTAGTTGCCATTGTGGTGGTGGTTTCCATGACCGTAGTCGACATCTCTGGTGGCATGGAGGTTGTCTGGGTTGTTCCCAAGATTGATGGGACTTCTCCCACCAGCCGGACACTTCCATTGATTTTAATATTAGGGTTGTTCTCAGCTGCCATGTTCAGTACTTTCAGACCATCATAATAGAGCCCAGAGAGTTGGCCTTGGAAGAGGCGTCCTTTGTCCTTTCCACCAATGGCTATTTGCGCCTGGGTGTTGAAGATGGTTAGCTGCCGGCCTAGTGGGTTGGGTGGAGGAAATATTATTATTTTTGTACATTTTATATCTTTACTTACCTGGTTTGAACAACCAAGCATTAAGACAGGCTCCCTTGAGCAATTAAAGTGGGGGAAAACATAGATGACAAATATTCAGTATTAACACTGGCAAGTAACATTTTGTTATGGTTATCTCTTCCACTGTCTAGCTGAAAGGCCTATATAATCTGAATAATCTAGTCTTTATTTTATATTGTAAGAAAGAAGAAATTTTGGTTCAGTGATGAGTGCTATTGCTTAGATATATACCTATAGATGAAAGTAATACCCAAATCAGGTGATGGCTAGAATAAATCATCAGAGATACCTATTACTTTTTTATGCTACAAATTAACATAAAAATTAAATAGGAGTGAGTTTTGGAAAAACTCAGTGATGACTGTGAACACTGAGTTTAAAAAATAGGACTGATAAGCTCCATTTACTGATATTAAGAGACTTGGATTCACTGCATGCTTATAAACATGGACGTTGTAGTCATCAAATACATAATTTCCCATACAGTCTACTAGTGAATAATAGTATACCTCTATTGACTGTTTAATAACATTGTGATGAACACATATCTACTAATTTTGAGGATGAGAGATTTATGTTCACATAACCAAGCCATAAGCATACAACCATGGTCATATAACTATGACTTATAGTCATACGTGGTGTTGATAGAGCTCCTCAACTAGGGGTAGGGAGCTAATGGGAATATATCATTTAATATCAATGCATTTTTAAAGGCAAAATGGGTATTAATGGAGAAACCAACACATAAAACTCCTTAAATGACACAGAAATATGGTAATGAATTGGAAAATATTAGTAATTTATCTTATTTGGAGTTCCCATCTGGGGAACATTTATACTTCTGTGAAAAGAGGACCAACAAAAAAATCATGGCAGAGGGGCTGGGAAGTGGCTCAGTGGTAGAACGCTTGCCTTGCATGCCTGAGGCCCTGGGTTCGATTCCTCAGCACCACATAAGCAAAAAGAAAAAAGCCGGAAGTGGTGCTGTGGCTCAAGTGGTAGAGCATTAGCCTTGAGCTGAAGAGCTGAGGGACAGCGCCCAGGCCCAGAGTTCAGGCCCCACAACCGGACCCCCAAAAAAAATCATGGCAGAATAGAGTATAGAACAGCGGTACTCAAGTAATCTTACTCCTAATGATTTCTACTTATTAGAAAATATTCTATCTCAATCTGGATCTTTCTTGGAAAAAAATAACAGTGTTTAGAACTCGTTATAATTTATCATGAAAACAGCAGGTAAAAAGTTCTTCCTTAGTATTATTTCTTAATTTTATTTCTGTCAGCTTTTTTATATGGAGAAAAGGTAAAAATACTAATGGAATTGAATAAATCCCTTTGAAGTTTTTCTTCAGTCAATGTGAAAACCGTGGTTCTACTCATTCTTAATCAAATCATCTAATATATTAGTCATAAATACCTGGAAACAATTTTCTGTTATTCTGAACTGTTTAATAAAAGGAAATATACTTCTAAGAGTCTGAGGTTTAGAACCTCTAATTTATTGAAGAGAGGTATACTATGGTGTCTGAACTCCTAGCCTCATTATCTAGCAGCAGGTCTTCAAGGCTATGCAATGTTTGGCTACCCTTAAATTTCTGGCATATAATATGAAATACCTACTCAAGCTACAGTATAGAAATGAGGAGACAGAGAAGGGGTTCTTGGCTAGAGTCAAAATGGATTCTAGACTTTAGTCTAGTCAACTTTACTCACCAGACAACTTGTAAGTGCCTATTACAAAGAAATATTTATAAATAATACCTGTTCAGGAAATTGGGAAACTTACCAGAGAATTTTGTTACAGTGGAAATGATTAACATAAGAATCTCTGGTCCAGAGTAAAGGGATCTATAGGCTTAACAGAATTGTCTAGACCCCAAGGGTGAATGGAACCAGATCAAATGGATTTCATGATGGTTCCCTTAGTTCCTTTACTATTGTTCTGGCCGTCAGCCTCATGAGATGAAGCATAACACTTAATGCACAGTAACACAGACTAATGGAGTAGAGTTCATATGACTCATGATTGATTTTGGACAATAGCTTTTTTTAATGGGAGCCCTAAATTTACTACAATAGGAATGGCATGGTGGATGAGAAGTAATGCTTCCTGAACTTTGCATAGGCATTTGGAAATGCTTACAGCAATTCAGAAAATGCTGTTAATGCTCCTAATAGGAGATTTCTTAGACAAAAAAAAAAAAATCACTATCTCCGTGCTAGAAACTCAAATGCTAAGTTTTCTCTTCCATGTACACAACTATGTATCATTCATAATCTTCATGTACATCCCTCTCTTTTTTAATGTTATCCAGCATTGGTGGTTAGTTGACGGATGAATAATCTGATTATAGACTATTCTAATATTCTTGAAACTGCTTTAAAATGATAACCTCTATAAGGGTTCCCACTTTACTTTCCTAGTAGTATTCATTCTGCCAATGCTAACAAGTAAAAAGAAGGTCAGAAAAAATTGAAATTCAAAACCTAAATTACACTGGCTGGAAATGATGGATTGCTTTCATTCCCTTTGCTAGAGTTTACTACATAAAGTGCTCTTTGCTTATTTGAGATTAACCCAAGAATTTGAAAAGGCTAGATATATTTGGGGTTTATAAGATTAAATTGCTGCTTCATTTTTGGTTATAACTTCTTTGACTAATCATTTCTTGAAACTGAAATACTGCTGGGTGACAAAGGAAAAGGGCTTACCTATGTTTCCATTTTCTATCACATTGTAGGAAGCATTTGGGTTTCTATTTGCTTGCCTGGATTTTTTCCTCAAAACTTTCTGCTAGCCCTCTGTATTTTGGTTTAGATGCTTACTAAGGCTAGAAGTCACTGAGAGAGCCCTCTCTGTCTCTTCCACTGCTTCCTCTGACTGGTTTAGTTCTTTCAATTAGGTGGGGGGAGATTGCATAAATGAAAAAAGCCATCACTAATATCTGCCTGTGAATGAAGTGAAAGTTTCTCTTTCAACCATTTTTCCCAAGAGATTACAAAATCAATGCCAGATCTCATTCTCATTATTATTAGTTCTTGGATCATTGTTTTTTGAATAAGTGACCATTAACTATGGACATTGACACATGTTTGTGTATGTAAATATGTATATATAGTCATATATATGTATATCATAGCCTGATAATTGGTGTTTCATCAATAATACAAAATTTGTTATCACATCAGTATAGGATTGAAGCAAGAAACTTTTTTGTTTTGTTTCAAGTACACGTCCTTTTAAAAGTTATTAACTGTTATCTTATTTGGACATCAGATCCACATATGCTTAAATTAAATCTTTGCTTGTCCCCAGTCAGTGTCACACAAAGAGTAATTAATTAAAGCTCAGAACATCCTTGGGGGAATAGGCAGTATTATTTCTCCTCTTCTCAGAGGGGAAATCTGAGACATACAGAATTTAAGTGGATTGTCTAAGGTCAAAAATCAGTCAATAGCAGACAGAGACAGAAAACAGACTTGGGAATGCTGTGACCTAACTTCCCCGAAGCCAGAAATAATTCAGCAGAGGCATTAAGTATTTCCTAATATATCTGTCTCATCATCCTTCTGTCTTTATTTTTTAAACCCATTGTCTTTAAAGGGTCTTTCAATACATGTTTTCTGTTCCTTCTCAGAGGAAAGTCAGCTAGGCAGAGGAAGAGCTAAAGCAATAGAACAAATGTTACTCTAATTACATAAAAAAGTAATTTCAGTGGAAATCATACAGAAGAGAACCTTTAGAGTTTGCATAAAGTCTTCTCAATACTTATGCATGGATAACATATACATTTGATTAAGAAACTAAGATACCTCCCTCCATCCCACTTCAACCACCCCTCCCCCCAGCCTATCCCTTTACTTCTGTATCCAAATGAATTTTTCTCTAGGAAAGCCAACTGATAAGATGTTATCATAAAGAAAACTAAAAGCTTACTAATTGCTTTATAATGGTTTATACAAATGAAAATGCCTGGCATGCTATTAAACTTAGACTTCAAAAGGCAATGGAGTAAAATAAATAGTATTAAACATAAAATTAAATGAAACAAAAAAAAAAGTTCTCTCAGGCATATGAGACTCAGACATGCATCTAGTTGCCTTTCCCTTTTTCAAAGTGAGGTGATCATTGTCTTTATTGTTAAAGGGACTTTATGAGCTGGTGATTACAAAACAAAATTATTTGCTTTTTAGAGTTATTCTTAATTTATTTTTAATTAGACCACAGATGTGGGGAAACAGGGCACACAGTTAAGACTTGGTAAGGATGTTCCATGTTCAAAAGTCTGTATATCTTCATTCAACTTAAAACTATCACCAACACTTGTTTCTTAAGTGGTATAGTATGTAAAAGCCCCAATTACTCCTTTTAGGGAACTCAATCAAATGTCAACAAATTTTAAAGGCTCACTTTAGGTCTTGAGATCCAACAGCATATACTAGCTCAGGAAAGAACAGAATAGATAGTTTTTAGAGAGAGAGAATTTTCTTCACTGTAAAATAATAGATTATATTATAGCCATTGCACCAGGAATTATAAGCACTGCCCTTTTATTCAGAGTGGTAGTTTCCTTCTGCAAAACAGAAGTTACTGTTTTGCCTTTCATGAGCCTTTCCCTTTTCCGACTGATTGTCTTAGCCACTTACACTTTGGTTGCATAAAAAAAATGAAATACACAAGGGTAGAACACAACCAGAGTGTAAAACAAATTTTATGTTGTTTTGTTGCAGGCAGAAACTAGATTGCAATTAATCTGGCATAAAACTGCCTTGAGTGAATTTAGAGGCAAAAATTCATCTTTCTCAGTCTTTGTTTAAAAACAAATGTGAAAACACATTGCTTCCTTTATGACATTTATTTTAAGCAGTTTAAGTTACAACAGTCAATCTCCGATTTTTGTTGTTGTTGTTGTTAACAGATAGTGAAGCCAAGAGAACCTCCAGAAAATAGTTTAAAAGATACTTTTGAAATTTCTTTAGAAAGCTATGGTGTGTGAGGGAATTTAAAGCAAATTAACAAATAATGTCATGCAGTGGTTAAATTGCCATAATACATTTCTGTTTTTAGGGTTCCTGGAATTTCTTGTTTGTGCTTGTCCCACTGACAGGCTAGATGTTAGTCCCTTTAACTGTGTTTTAATGGCAATGTATTATAGCATGATTTATCAACATATGGCAGGTGGAAGCTGACACAAATTATAATGAAAATTAAAACAGTCATTTATGCAGCAGGCGATTATCATTTAAGGAACATTTATTTGCAGGCTTTAAAAATGAGGGTTTAGAATCAAATGATTTTAAAATGAAAGTTTTAACGACGGTTACCTTTTTCCTGTAGCCACTCTTCTACGGGCCGGTTATATTTGAAGGGGATTTTCTGTTTTACCATTTGGAAGCGTTCATTATCAGTGTTGCCTTTAAAGTTTAAAAAACAGCTTAAAGAACAATCTGAAAAGTCAATAAGTCATTACAAAAAAAAAGCATCCTAGGTTTTTTGGTTTGTTTTATGACGTTTTTTAGAGATAGCTATCAATTTATCTTTAGTGGAGGTGGAGTTGAAGTCACTCTGCCCTGGCGGACATGTTTGGGGTCAGGTTAATCTCAGCTAGGCACTATTTCAGCATATTTTGGCATGGGATAATTATGGAGCAGGAAAGATTTGGTTGTTTACACAAACAGAGCTCATTCACTCTGTCTTGGTTTCAACCCAATTACAACTTAATTGATTCAGTTGAGACACACACATCTCAGTGATACATCTGACAGATCATTCTCACAATGACATATTGGAGCCTGAATACCCCACTATGACTAAAATGTGTCTCTATAGGAAACAAAGGGCTATATCCTTCTGTATTCTCCTCTCAAGAATTTGTAGTGTCTCTTCTTTTTAGGAAAGGAAGCCAAGAAAGACAACTGAAATCCCTATGGGTAAGAGACATTATCTTACTCCATTTACAAGGTGCTGGCATTATATCACCTCTGATATCCTTAGATCTTTATTCCTTTCCCCAGATATGTTGCACATTTAAAAGCCATGAATAATTACTACCTCCTTTTCTCTCTCTCCCTCTCCATCTTTCTCTATTTCTCTTTGTCTATCTCTTCCTGTCTTTCTCCTTCTCTCTCTCTGTCCTTTTCTCCTCTCCTCTATTCTCTTCTCTCCTACTCTCCTCCACTCTCTCCTCTTCCTCCTCTTCTCTCTCTCTATCCTCTGTCTCTCTTTGTCTCTGTTTCTCTCTCATCTTCCTATGATGGACTCTTTTTATACAAGTAATCCACTCATACAGTCCATTAGGGCTATTTCTTCTAAGCATGAAACACCTAATTTGTTTCAAGGCTCAAACATAAGCTTTAACTGCTAGTGTGCCTCTTCTTCCTTTAGTAACTGTTATTACCACTCCTGAATGGTTTCTCTAATTAGGAGAGACACAGAGAGTGGTATAGAGATATGCCCCTAATGAATATGCTTCCAATAACAAAATAATGAAGCCATGCTTTGGGAACTGTTCTATCTCATCAGCCAACCCCACATTGATCTAGCAGAAACTAGTGAATTGTAATTCATCATTTTTGATTCATAGCCTTATATTGGAACTTAGGGAACTCAATTCCAAATTACCAATATTTTAAAAAATGAAATAAAAATCCCCAATCAGGCAGTTTAGAAATAATTTACTAAGAATTGTGAAAGCCAGGAAGAATATTAGGCTTAAACACAGAATTGGACTAAGTGAATAAAATCATGCCACAGCATTTTTAAATGTAGGGCCCACTCTGTCAGTTATTATTGGCTAAGAAAATTTCACGTGTGTGTGTGTGTGTGTGTGTGTGTGTGTGTGTGTCTTGTGTTGTGTTCATAAGTGCATATGCATTTACATATTGAGGAGATCTGATGTATTGGGGGATTATGGTTTCTTACTGCCTTCTCAGATTTCAAGAAAGCTGTTTCTTCCTTAATTCCTTCGAATATTTTTTGAAAGAAAGATTCATGAGAGAGGCAGCTATGGAGCTGCTTTGAGCCTACATTGTAGAACCCTATGTAGCTAGCATAAAGTATAACATACGAGCATAAAAAGGAGGTTGGGGTATGGTGTAGCCCAGGGGTACAGCATTTGTCTATTATGCTTAAAGCCCTTGGGTTGATGTCAGCACTGCAGAATAATCAAATAACAATAGGCTAATGTGTATAAAATGCAAGAAAATAGAAAGAAAAATGCACAGTTTTGGATTGCCAGGAATAAGTTTAAGTTTTTCTCAAAGAATCCTACCTTAAAAAGAAAATGGAATAAGGGGGAGATGGTAGGCAAAGAGGAAAACTGGAAAAATCTTGATTTCTTGGTGTTTCAATAAGCCTATATTGAAGGAAGTTAATTTTACCCATAGTTACAACTACTGATTTCTGATTGTTTAATGGTTTTTCCTGGTATATATCTAGGTACTTAGGATTCTATTAATCCAAAATAAAGTTGTATATATTTTCAAGTGTTTTTATTTGAAAAACAGAATGTACTTTCTTGAAAAGTGCCTATATTTAATGGACTAAAAATAAAAAGAATAACTTTTAATCCTACCCAGCTGGTGATCACTATGGTAAAGAATGTTATTGATTCTCTACAGTTTTAGGCACAATGGAACACTATGCCAAGAAACTGAACAGTGTCAGATTTATCTAGAATAAATTCTATGGATTTGGGTTTTCTGTATTTATCCTGGTTGGCTCCAACATTAAGTAGAATGAAATTCTGCTCACTGTGGAATAAATTGGTGAAGTCAATGACAAATAGAAAATTTTATGTTCTTAGTAACTTGAAGAAAATAATCAAATATAACCAAAATTCCAAAAGGTTTCAGTTTCAGATACAGTATATTATTCAATGAACTGTGCATTGATTTGCATACATAAAGGTTCTTGGCCCTGCTGAAAATCCAGACACTCATCCAATACTCTTTAAAACAGAGTGTACCATAGAAACTCAGATTGGAGTATTGTATATCTTAGAAAAATAAAGAAAAATGTTGGCTAACCATGAAGTGCTATAGTGGGAGCATAGAGGATAGCATAGCTGTGATTCAACCTTGACCCTTGTAAAAATGAACGATGGAGTCATTCTCCTCCACCTCAGCTTTAAAGACATTTAGAATATATTTTAAGTTTTCCATGCCAGACTGATAGTATCTGGCACTAAGGACAGCGATCTAGAATACTGTGAAAAGTTGTGAAAAGATGGAAGGTCATTTGAAAAACCAATCTGGTTTAAATCAACACATTAGCATTGTTCTTAGTATCTTTTCATTGTTCTTTTTGGTTTTTATTTTAATTTAGGTCAAACACTAGTAAGAATTGTTTTAGAAATCTGTGCATGCGAATGAGTTCATTTGCCCTAAGCCCCATTTACTAGATTAACTGAAGGACAGACAGCTTTCTCTATGAGAATTCATACACACGACTATTCTGTACACTGAACAAATGTCACCAAATTCATACACATTCTTATTAAATCCTCAATCACATTCAGTTGTATATTTCAGAGAGCAGTATGAAAATTTGAACAAAGAATGAAGTCATTTCTTCAACACAAATAATGCTATATTCAAGACAGACTGTCCTTATGAATAGTAATATCATAATACCATTAAAAGGTGACATAGCTGCATGATTAATTTTACAAGAAAAATGCAATAACTGTAGTTCTTAACCATACAGAGAAATTAATAATGCACAAAGAAATCTTCAAATAAACACTTCTTAAATTAACTATGAATTTGACACCAGCATGCAAGAGAATTTTAAGAAAGAAATCATTAGCTATATATATATCTTATTCTACTTAAATATGTATGTATTTATTCATTCTTCCTATTTCAGGTAAAGAATTGAGATTTCTATCCAGTTGTTTCTCTGTAGACTATTCCCTCTACTATCAATGTTTAAACTCTTGGAGACATGTACAACATGCACTGTTGAATTATAATATTGTAAAGAGCAAAATACTCTGATTTGAAATTACTGTGGCCCAACTGGTTCATACACTTAGCTCCAACCATTTTGCAGAACTACCTCATATTTCCTACATTTTGCCTGATCCATTTAGGATGAAAGGTAACTGAGTATAAGAAGTCCCTTACTTACATCAGTATATTCTGATATATATTAGAAACTTGTTAACAGCCCTTCAAATGTAAAATATTTTCAAATGAAGAACTAAAAGATAGAACTCTTCTACAGAACAGAAAATAACAAGATCAATATTATGCTTATGCTTTTTTGTCACATGTATTTCACATCATTAGAAGTTAGGGTAACTTTCTTAAGCCCTTAATAATATAATACAAAAGTAAAAGACAATAGGATGCAAACACAAATCTGGTTTTGATTTCTAACTTTACCATTTGTAAGTTATTTCTCCTTGGACAAATCTCTTAGTTTTTATTTCCTCATTTCTCACTTTACCTCAGTATAAATTAATAGGAAGCACAATATATGTATGAATGTTATGTATCTATATGCATATATGTGTATATACACATACATATATATACAAATATAGCCTGAAATAGTAAATATTGAGTTTACTTATTAAACAATTAGTATTGATATACTTCAGCTATCTTTTTACCAAAATGAAGCATGTTAGTTCCATGTTGGGATTGTGTGTTCTCAAAACCTTTGGAAGTCTTCCATTCCAAACATGGATGAATGCTGGTGACTCATTTCTGTAATCCTAGCTGCTTAGGAGGCTGCAATATGAGGACCAGTACAGTTCTAAACCAGTCCAGGAAGACACATACATGAAATTCTGATAGCCTTTAAGCACCAAAAAAGCTGAAAGTAGAAATGTGGCTCAGTAGGTAGAGAACTAATCAGGCAAAAAAGCCCAGAGGGAATGTGAGGCCCTGAGTTCAAGCCCTAGCACTGGCACAAAAATAAACAAACAACCAATTCACAGCTATCTCTGATTAGTTTTATAAAGACTATTTTGCAAAGATTAGCTTACCATGGAAAATCAAACATCTCAAACATCCCTTCTTTTCCCAATTGTTGCTTTTATAATTCTGTATCATCAAAAATATACTTGGCTAATTGCATTTCCAAAGCCAAATGGGTTTCTAAAATCACCAAAAAGAGCAATTCAAGCATTGACAAATGTGATGTTTTTGGTCTAGTCACAGGTAATGATGATATACTACCGCTAAGTTGAGGAAGAGTAGCTTGAAGGTTCTGGCCATTTGTACCAGGTTGGCAGAAAACGTTGTTTTGCGAGTACACTATTAATACCACCTGAAATGTTGGCAAGCACGTGGACAGGATAATAGGCAAAGTGTAACAACATTCACCTGCATGAAATTAATGCCAGAAGTAGTTTGCATTTTGTTTTAAGCCCCTGGAACAAAGAAAGAAAAAGTTGTCCTTT